CATTTGATCTCATAGGTATAAATAGTATCTAAATTACCGAGTTTGTGTCGAGTGGATGACCCCCCCCCCCTAATAAAACCACATAGAACGCTTTCCTTAAATCGGATGGAACCTGTAGTATCGATGCGTTCGTGGGTTATCCTTGACGAAGTCATGGACAATTACCCCGCGACTAGTTAACTCAACCGATATCTTACGGATATGAAACGGCATACCAAATTTCATTTAAATCCCATCTTAATGAATATTATATAATATAACTATAAATGTCGGTTTCCTGTTCTGTTGCTTTTCACGAGATTTTGCCTGAAACAAACGAGAAACAAAGGGATATCAGTTGGGTAACATATTGTTCCAGAATTAATTGCATTTATTGTCTTGGTGAGATTGGTAATACATATTTAAGACTTTTATGGCAATACAATATTTCTTTTCGTAACTTTCGGTGACTTATATCGAAAATGACAATGACCACGCAATATTTTTTTTTTCGTAACTTTCTCTGACTTTTCCTTAAGCACTTTAATTGTGAGCTTACTGTCCATGATCCAAAAATCTGCAGGCCACGCCATATTTTATTTTCGAAGCTTTCTCTTGACTTTTCCTTAAGCACTTTAATTGCGAAGTTACTGTCCATGATCCAAAAATCTGCATCGAATCTGTAAAACATCATACTATAGTTTAGGCAACTGGAGAACTGCAAAACTCTGAACAAATCTTAATCTGGGTTGTTCGTCTGTATAAATGACCTCAAAGCGGGTAATAGCGAAATTTTGGAGGTCATTCCAACCCATCTTATTTCCTGTAAACTTCCAGTCTGCCTGAAAGTAATATATTATTATTTTGAAGATCTTTGTCGCCTTGATTTATTTTTTGTATTTCGTTATGACTATGATGTATTTGAAAATAATGCGAAGTAGGGCGAACATCATCAAGATGGTTATCAGAAAAAACACCACAACTTGATAAAACCTTTCTGATTTTATTCATTTATCAAAGTCTAAGCAACAGCAGCTTAATGTAATATCTATTTTATTACACTTTGATCACTACAAGTAATATCTAAATCACTTCATCATTCTTTTCAATCACATCAGTATTACTGTTGCCCTTTAAGGAAATCACATTTAGCCCGCCATGGAGAAGCCAATCACAGGTTGACTGCTGGGTTATTTTAATAACAAGTCAGTCTGAAGACACATGATATCTCTTATTTTATCCCAATTCCATTATCTGCAAACCATCTGGATAGAAAACAAGTCAAGACAACTAAAGACATTTGATTCGTCAGAGTTATTGATTTAACAATAAAGGCATTAACATTACTTCCAATATGAAAAATGGAACAAAGGAAAATGCATATGTATAATGTTTTATTTTTCAATGGTTTAACCTTGTGGTTCTCAAATGAAATACGTAAGTATCCAATATGAACCAGCGTTCATATCGTGTTTTTGTCATTTTCCGTAGGTTATTTGGTTGGCAAAATATAATAAAAGAGGTCGCTTATGTCATATATAATAGAATTAGGATTCTTCACCAACAATCGATGCCTAACACCAAACGGTGAAGAATCAGATCAGATTGCTCAGCGGATGGTATTAATTGGTATTGAATGCATTAACGGAAGTCTGAAGCGTTACACAGCCTCACACAGGTGGAAAGGGGGCATCATCGCCCTAGACTTTCCAGACTATTGATCAATAATCCAGTCTCGGATAGCTCCGCACCAGTGTAGTAAGTAGCGTACCAGATACTATATTATGTAGTACCAGAGACTATGTTATGTAGTACCAGAGACTGTATTATGTAATAAGTAACGACCAATTGGGACGTATAAGGAAACTGAAGCCCCAACCGGGTTTCTATTTCAGGCCGTGTTAAGAGAAAATAATCTATTTTACTGACTTCTGTCATTTCATTGGGTCAAGGCAGATATGGAGAATTCCGCCAAGGATGTCTTTGTGGCTTAATTGATCAAATATATGAAAGGTATAAACACACCGTCCTCCACAAACAAACTTTTGCAGTTTAAATTTCCACAAAGCTGCATGATTTTGATTGTTCAATTTAGATATTGGACGTGTCCTGTTTTGTGTGAGTACTAATATTTCAGATAAACGGTAGTTGTGTTGAAAACTAAATATTAATGTAATATATGAATGTACATAAGGCGATATATATTCAATTTGTAAATGTTTTATTGTAATTTGTAATCAGTTATGTTAGATGAAATACGTAAACTTCAGTCGTTTGTGCCAGTTTAGTCCATTGTAAACGTTTATTTTTAAAAAATGATTATTCTGTCATTGGTGAATCAGCCATTACTACTATTCGTTTCAGCATTGTCTTGTAGGACATGTGTTACTTTGTTCATTTCGAATGGCGCCCAAACCATAGAATACACGCCGACATTAGGATCCCATATTTTCACAAGATAACAACATCAAAATTGACCAATGTTGAATTTAAATTTGTGATTTTACTTTCGAATTTTATGGAATATATTGAGCTAGAAACTCCCTTTAAATACGGACTTAGGCAGGGGAAAATGTCAGTCTGATGAAAATATAACGAGACCGTTTCCAACCGGCGGAAACGCGTACATGAAAAACGGGCTTATAATAGACCGTTGCGATTAAAGAAAGCAAACAGGACTTCCCATCAACAAATCTACTATGCATGCAATAGTCGATATAATATGACCAGCATTGTGTTGTACCTGTCAGGTGACTGCACTATTTACCAAGTTAACGTATTACAATACTGGCTGTTATCAGTGAAGCGCAGTTGAATAAAATGTCAATGGACTCTTCAATAAAAACAGCGAACAGCGGGGATTTTAGTAGAACAGGTTGACATAGAGGCATATTTTCTGCGTTCATAAAATATATGAAAATCAGCACCATTTGAATTCAACACTTTTTAATTGTTCGTTCAATTACCCAATATTTCGGTGTACTGTAAAGTACCCAGAACACGGGACTCAAAACCGAAGTCTTGTCCTTGATACAATTGAAATGAAATGGGGCTAATCGTCCTACTGTTCTGCTCCGACTGGGCTGATGAAGACGGACATATGCCACACAGTGTGCTATGAAAGAAATTCTGCCCGGCTACGGCCTACTCTTATATAGAATTCCAGCTGACAAGGGATCGTTTACGTGCACGCCAATGTGTACACCGGACCTCAGATTTCGCCCCATTCCAACGTTTAGACAGCTTTCCTTGTTATTCTCTCCGCCCTGCGCCACTGAAAAGGGGAAACCACGCCAGAAAATCCCGATGAACGTTTATTTCGAGATCTTTTCAACCAATCTTATCGACCAATAAACTCATCATTTTATAAACAAAATCGTAAAATACCCCCCCCCCCCTCCCAAAAAAAAAAAAAAAATTTTCAGTGAATGGAGTGTGGAGCAATTTCTGACTATCTCAATAGCTCGTTAAATAGATCGGCTGAATGAAGCACATCCAATTTGTCGATATATCGAACTATGAGATATCATTATCCTTGATATAATTCAGTGTCTGGTAGTTTGTAGCTTGTAACTGTTCGGGTTACTTATCTTAAGCGTTCGTTAATAAGATTGGAGCTAATAGCCCTGGAAGTAGATTATGTCACTTACGCTTGTACAGCACAAATGGCGATAGAAGCTGTCATCCGAGATCTGTGAGTATTACCCGGCTTAACATGATATATGGAACCGTGTCAATGGTATTACTACATTCACCCATATAATTGAAGTTATTCTAGGCTTTAGGATTCGTGATCAACTTTGTCTTGCTTTACTGATGAACAAAACATGAAGAAGGTGGTTTTATTTCCAAATAAAAGGATAGTTATTTTAATAGGTCATTCCCATCCGCGCAAATTAAACATTTTAAAAGAAATTTGTGGGTGTGGCTAGACACCCAGGTTAGCGAGCCAACGTCCAACACACTGTGCCACCATGGCTCCCAGCTTCGGAAATATAAATGAGCGATTGTCTGTGAGGATGAGGCCTTTTTCAAGTGATGCGATAGCATCTGGGAACTAGTGTGCTCGTCATGTTCAGCCCGCCTGGACTTACGAGACACATTTTTAACGGTTCAATTAAAGCATATCGAAATGAACAAATGGTACAATTTTGCAGACAAAACTGAAAAAAACACAATTTCCAAGAATTGTGTTATTATAGGAAAGTTAAAATAATTAAAAACAGTTCTTTCATAGAAATATTATGATTATGCATTCTTACAGAAAGTATCACGATTGTTTGAACAAACACGACAAAATGGATTTCATACAAAGCACACACGCGATCATTTGGAGGATAGGGGCACTGCATCCTGTAATTTACATTTGTCTATAAAAGAATTTAAAATTAAATTTACTACCTTTACATAAACATGTCTCCCAAGTATGTTGGTTATTAAGAAATTTGCACGGGTGGTGGGGAAAATTTTATATGAATGTCAGTGCCTAGGCTTAACGCGTCATGTATATTATCTAATGCAAATTACTGTTTGACATGGTCTTACAAACTCGGCGCTACGATTATTGACATACATGCCATCTGTATCAATTAATTAGGGACCAATATTAACTTTTATTATTCTGTCTGTCTGTCCCGGTTTTTATTCTGTAGAAGATATCTTTATGAAACTTCAAACAAACATCACCGTATTATAGCAGTTGTAATTTTTGCTGATTAGAATTGGGACCCACGGTGGCTAAGACGCTGGCTCGCTAACCTGGAGTTCCCGTATTCGATCCCTGCATTGGTATATTTTCTGGCGTGGTTCCCGTTCTAAATGATAGAGGAAAAGTTAATACTATTAAACGTGTTAAAGAGCTGCTGTCTGAACATTTGGAAATCCTGGTGATGAGCCTTCGTAAGTCAGACGGACACAGGTGACCACAATGTACGCCGACATTAAAAATAGACCCTAACAGTATATCACCATCGCTAAATAATATATTATTTCATATTTGGTAATAAATTCTTGAGACGTACCTGATCTCATATCTTAAAGACAGTCGATAACTGTAAATGACAGGCAGGCTATGAAGACATCTACACCATTGACTAAGCCACTCGAAGATGTGTGAAGCTATGAAAGCAGTAAAGACAAGCTGCCAATAACTTGTCAGTGTGATGGCTAGAATTAACCCGATTGTATGAAACATACAGTGAAGAGGGATAGCATTATCGCCTTAGTTAAAAGCGGACGTAAATCCCAAGTACTACTAATAAGTAGTAGCCATGATGGAAGGAAGAGCTCGGCGTGGAAACGTTAGACTTATAAATATGAAGATAAATTCACCCGCGGTTACAACATTTCCTCTGAAGAATTCCTATATATATATAAAGAAGCGGAATAGCGTTATCGCTTTAGCTGGAAGCGAGCGTAAATAGCCATACTGGAAGAAAGTGTTCCATGTGGGAACCCTACTCTTATAAATATGAGGATACAAATTGACCCGCATTTAAAACATTTCCCCTGAAGAATTCTAGGAAATTTGAAATGAATTATAAATGAGCAAACCTTTGCCTATTTATCTTAAATGGCATTTATTTCTCTCGAATGAATTTCGTTTTTCATTAACTTGCAAGGATCGGAAGGAATTACAGTAGTGATTGTAATGACAGAATTGTTGAAATGGGGCTTCGTGACTGTAAGTAATAGTACTTTAGTGACGCGTGTTGGATTGAAATCCTCAGTATAGTTAGAATAATTAGATCATTGATTGTTCTCTAATTAACAACCGCTAGAGGCTATAGATACCTCACCGGAAGAGTGACGCATCTTTCCATTCTATATGTAGGTGAACATACCACTAGATATACCGTTTACTACAACTGGTATTATTATATATATTTTGGCATATAATTGTTGTTCGTAAATAAGTATGTTGATTTCAAATAATCTACGCACTAATAATCTGGGGGTGTTCGATCCCTGCATTGGCCAAGAAAGTTCATCAAGATTTTCCGGCGGGGTTCTCCCTTGTCAGTGATGCAGGACTGAGGGCCTGACAAGGACAGTTGTCTAGTCGTTCGGGTGGGACCAAAAACAGAGGTCCCGTGTACATATTGGCATGCAGTAAAAGATCCCTTGACAGTTGGAATTCGATATAAGAATAGGCCATAGCGCCGCTGTCCGGGCAAAATTTCCCTCATAGCACACTGTATGGCGTATGCCCGTCTTCATTAGCTCAGTTCGGAGCAAAACAGTAGGGAGAGAGAAATGGGGTTTAACGTCCACTCGACACAAACTATGTCATTTCGGGACTAACATATGGTTTAATTTTATTTCAATAATTCGCTTGCGCATAGGGGTCTTTAGCAGTGGGAGGACCCGGAGAAAACCCTCAAGGTTGGACAGGCGACCCTACTCCTTGTCACGTACAACCGGGGATTCGAAACCACGCCAGTCGACTCAATGACAGACTTTATGATACAGCGCGCGCACGCTAACCATTCAGCCATCCACACCACACTCCCCAAAAAAAAACAGTAGGACGTTAAAACTCATTTCATTTCATTTCTTAATCTGAAGTTCCAGTAACCGTAGAAATGTGTCCGTGTTCGTAATTATTCTGAAATATATTCTAAGTGAAATTTGTATTGCGTTTCAGATAAATCATACATGTATACAGACTATTGCTTTCTTTTATTGAACCGTTAATTCGGTTCTGCTTTTGCTCTAGAAAGTTCCAGAAGTACAGGCAAGGAAAAAAGGTCTAACGTCGGATTGGACGAAAACCCGAGGCCGCGAGTGCATGTAAAGAAACATGGACTGTTGGAATTCGATGAAAAGTAGCTGTAAATGCAACTGTCAAAATCTCCCTTAAAACACAATGCATGCCCATCTTCATTAGCCTGTGTGGTACAGCAAATCGAGAAGTTCAGACCCATTTCATTTCTCTCCGATTTAAATAAAGAGTTCTCATGACATCCAGAACGACAAAATCATGATTAATTCGATATTATACGAAATTAATACGCCATTACTTCCTCTATCAAACGATAAGCTAGATATATTGAAAGTGTTAATCGAATCATATTTCGTTATTGCAGTCTGTTTTAAAGTGGAGTAATCGTACACAATAAAATACAAACACAATTCTGTGATTTTGTTTAAGGGATGCCATTGCTTATCTGCGGCCATCTTGTGCGAAACTAATACGTCATTACTTCCTCTATCAAACGATAAGCTAAATATATTGAAAGTGTTAATCGAGTCATATTTCATAATTGAAATCTGTTTTAAAGTGAAGTAATCGTACCCAGTAAACTACAAACAAGGTTGTGATTTTGTTTAGGGGATGTCATTGCTTATCTGCAATGCGAAACTGATAGGCCATTACTTCCTCTATCAAAAGATAAGCTACATATATTGAAAGTGATAATCGTGTCATATATAGTCCTAGAACTTTGTTTTAAAGGGGAGTTATCGTGTCCAGTAAACTAAAAACAACGGATTGATAGCGTTTAACGGGGTTTTATAGTACCATGTGAACTACAAGCAACGATTTGATTACGGTTAAGGGATGACACTGCTTATCTAGCGTTGAAATTACAATTCTTAGAACAGTGGCACGAATAGATAAGTCCAAATTAGGTCAATGGATTAACCATAATGGCTAGTGATGATAAGTCAAAGCATTAATCACAATAGCTACTAACTACTAATTTCAAGAGACTTATCCTTCTAGATATTGATCAATTTTTGTTTGAGAATTAATACTAATAAATGGCATTAGTCACACCTCAATTAATCACACGTCCACGATGTGTCTATATATCCATTAATCAGTGGCGCATGTCTCACGTTGTTGAATGGTCAATTTTGAAATCGTTAACTTCCACAGTGAACGGTAAACATATTTTGGCTGTCGGGAACAGAAGATTATGAGAGAGAAAATTAAAATATCGCAACACGTTTTTTCAATCTGTGTTCAAAGATGCGGGTGATAGTTTCTGGCATATAACGAAGTTTTCTTCAAATTTTTGCTTTAACTGGTAATCAAAAGCTCTACACATGATTTACTTTACTCTACAAAGACTATTTGAACGCTCTACGTGAAATGTTTTTGGGAACAGAAACTGATCCCCAAGACCTACTCGTTCTTCTTAGGTTCAACGCTCTTTGAAACAAACGTCAAAGCTCTGCAAATTAAAGCACGGTCGAGATGAAACTCAGCATGCCTGGTCCTTGGACAATAGCGCATTGATTGAATTTCTTTTGATACATTGTCACAATTCCAAGATGGTCGCGATGACGTCATGCTTGGTTACCGAATTACAACTGCGAAGGGTTCTATTACGTGCACGCCAATGTACACACGGGACCTCGACTTTTCGTTCCAACCGGACGACTATACCTTGTCCCTTGCGAGTCCCTCTGTCCTGCACCACTGACAAAGAGGACCCACGCCGGAAAATCCCGATGAACTTTCTCGGCCAACACCCCGGGATCGAACACGTTATCTCCACATTACGTATTCCTATCAGGGAATACAGAAGCGGAAGCTCGTGCGTAGAAGATAACATCCTTGCCACAAGCCATGTAATCGAGAATGTTCAAGAAAGTAAGCATAACCTGTATTGTGTACAATATAGGTAATTACTTTTTGCTTAATGAATTGGCGGCTTGGACCTGGCTTGATCATGCCGAAGCTGAAATGAAATGAAAAGGGGTTTAACGTCCCACTGTTCTGCTCCGACTGGGCTAATGAAGACAGCCTACGCCATACAGTGTGCTATGAGGGAAATTTTGCCCGGACTGTAGCACTATGCCTACTCTTATATCGAATTTCAACTACCACGGGGTCATTTACGTGCACGCCAATGTATACACGGGTCTTCGGTTTTTCGTCCCATCCGAACGACTAGACAGCTGTCCTTGTCAGGTCCTCCGTCCTGCACCACCGGCAGGGGGAAGCCACGGCTCATGCCGAAGCTACAGGATATCCTCTTATCCCATAAAATTAACCCAACAACGGTCTTACATGGTAATTGTACAATCAATAATTACTGTCCTGTGGACGATACTCGTAATTATTTATTGCCAACTGGATTGGGGATGTGATCTGGATTGCAGAAGGTACTGGATATCTTTCCAAAAATGTAAAATTAATCCAACAACGGCCCTATATTGTGACTGTGCAATCAATAATTTTACCAGTTTATATTTTTTGTGATAATCAAGTTTTACTGTGTCTGGTCGTGAGATGAAATATAGAAATTACATTCCTGGTGTGCTTATTTAATTTCTTCGCGAATCCGAAAAATAGAAAATTATGTCGAGACAATTTGTCTACAATGATATTTATTAAGGCCAATTAAAGCAGCTTGACCGCTCGTGTTCTTTACGCTTCTCTCTCTACGGTTACAGTTTTCGCTTTTTGTCTGAAGATTCTAGAAATATCAACAGCTAATTGAGGTTTGTAAAAATATATTTTTATATTCCAATTCAGTTGGGACTAGGATCAAGTTTTGTAACGCCTACGTTTTAGAGGAAAAGGTTTATGGTTTAGTCAAGTGGTTTGGTTTCGATCCCATCAATTTGTATTTATCAAGGAGTAGGGTCGCCTATCCAACATCATGAGATTTCTCGTTGTTCTCAAGTTTCCTCCCACTGTTCAAGATCACTAAACGCAAGGGAATTATTGAAATCGTAGCATATGTTAGCCACAAAATAACCTAGTTGAGTCCAGTGGACGTTCAACTCAACAACGGTTCTATAAAGAATACGACCCGATGCCTCCTTTGAATATCCCGATAAGTTTAACTTTGTTCGACCAAAGGAACTGTAACTCTTGAAGGAGAAATATGATCTGGAATAGCGTATGGGAGAGAGAGAGATTGGGTTTAACGTCCACTCGACACAAACTAGGCCATTTCGGGACTAACACATGGTTTAATTTTATTTCAATAATTCGCTTGCGCGTAGGGGTCTTTGGTAGTGGGAGGAAACCGGAGGACCCGGAGAAAACCCACGAGGCTGGACAGTCGACCCTACTCATTGTCACGCACAACCGGGGATTCGAAACCACGCCAGTTGACTCAATGACAGACCTTTTGATACAGCACGCACGTGCTAACCATTCGG